GTCTGAATTATTTGCAACATTACCCCTGAATTTATCTAAATAAATACACACCCATTTATCGATGAATATGCTTGCATGTATGGGGGGTGGACACAATGTTTTTGGAAGCTAAAACTGTCTCTGAAAACCTTTTATTTCACAAGCGTTTCCACTGTACTTTTTATAGTATCTACCTTGGTACCACAAACAGTAAGTTACATCACTTGTAAATACCGATGTTTGTTTGTTTGTACTCATCACTATTTCATCTACAAGACAAACTGAGCATCACTAACAATTCACATCACATCAATAAGCTCAACAAAAATACATGAAAAACCAAGGCGGCCAGTGGGGAGTGGGGGAAGAATTTGGCTGGAACTCTGTTTCATCACCCTCTGTAATGACTGTCACCAGAGAAAGCAAATTAAAGAAGCTTTAACCACAGAAATCCTATTAATGGCCCAGGAGAGGTTTTTCTGGACGTACTGGAGGGCTAGAAGGATATTTAAGGCAAGAGGCCTAGCAGACAAAAAGTGTTTGTGTCTGCTAACCACTACTCAAACATGGATAAATTGATTTATCAAGACTTCTGCAAAAGCAGTAGCATCATGTTTGGCAATAACAGTATTTTACCATTTACTTTTAATCTCAGAATTTGGGTGAGGCAAAAAATCCTGTAAGAAAGAAAAAAAAAAAAAGCAAAACAAAGAAAACCAACAAAAAAAAGAAAACCTCTATATACTCTATATTTTCATTATAGATACAACAGACCTATCTGTAGTTTGTCTTAAAACCGTACCTAGAGGCACAAAGAGTGATGGTGGATCTATTGCAGTAGGCACTAGAGATGTATTGAGAAACAGCATCTGCCTCCAAGTCCAACCTGAGCGGGAAGAGGAACCCAGGAGCAGGTAAAGAAGTTTGGATTTGATAAGATTTGCGTCACAGGTACAAAGAGACACTAACCAAAGTCTCCTGATTTCCAATGCAGGGCTCTATTTACTTGGTCACTCTCCACAAGTTCTTATTTAAGCATAGAAGAAACAAACTTATTTTTGAAATGCTGCCTATCCAGGAATTTTCTGTATTTAAAGATTAAAAAAAACACGGTTTCCTATTTATCACCTGTGCCAACCTCTAAAAACATAAGGACTTCTTGAACCCTGAGCTGCAGGCAGTTTGTACAACAAATCCCTTGGGTGGGATTTTGGAAGATGGAAGGGGTTAGAACTGCACAAAGAGCTCATGAATCAGGAGCCTGTCCTCGAGAGGCAGTTTACATGAGCACAAGTTCAAAGCTGCCTAAAGCTTCTGTCGGCCAAAGCCCGCAGAGCTGCAGGGCTCTGAGCGCGCTGCGGAGCTTCAGGATGCTGCCCCCGTTCTCAATTCGAGCTGCCTGTGTCAGTCTGCGGTTCTCCTCTGATTTTACTTCCTTTTTATATTTGCAGAACATTTTTAAAGCCCTTTATAAATGTATGCAAGATGACATGTCCTCCTATACTCATCATACTAAACTTTAATTAACTGCATTTTGTCGCACTATTTACAAACTAAAGTAGACGACCTGCTATTCTAATACTTAGAGAACAGCAAGAACACTTGGGTCTACCTGCACCAAAGTGCTTATATTAAAGAAGCTGAGTTTGATGCAGGCTTGGGAGCGTTGGGGGTGCATTTAAGGGAATAACTTACAGGTATTGGCATACTGACTGTACTTTTATGTATAAATTTTCATTCACAGGGAAACTACAGTTTCTTCTATAAGTCTCTCTATATGTACAGAATTTTACAGCACCTCATGCACTGTTTAAAACAAGTTACAGATAAATATATTTTTTTTAGATTGAAATATTTGTATATTTAGAAAAATATGCATTAGTAAACACAATAAACCAGGTAGAGAAGTGTACCAGTTCTAAAATCTCACATGCAAGTCCATTTCTGGATCAAGTCGCAGTAGATTAGTAATGTGACTACAGACATGAGGGGTTTTTGTTTTTGTTTTTTTTTAAAAACCCATCCACATACATCCACATACACAGACAACTATTTGATAATTTACTTTTCTAAACTACGTAATTATTTATCTTGTGATACATACCACATATCTTTCTTAAACACTTAGCAGCATCTTCACCTTGTTCATACATACCTGCTGTCATTATTAACAGCCAACATAAGTTTACCTGGGGGTATCTGGAAAATAAACGTTTAGTATAGACCAAGCTACAGAAAACTCAGTTATTTGAACCCCTCCAAAAATACTTTTAATAGCTATTATGTGAAATATTGTCACTTGCTCAAAGCCAATCCCCTTGTAGCATCTTTCTGCTAATTGCACGGTATCTGACTTCTGATTTAACAACCTAAAACAGGCTGTCACCACTATGGATGTGATGGAAGTGGCATCTTTAGTGTAAGACCTTCCGAGAATGGCTTTTTAAAGTAAATCAAAGTTTAGTTGTCATTTGAGATTCTAGTCATCCTACCAGTTAAGCTGGCTGAAAGCCTGATTTGTCTTTTGAAGTAAAAAAGTTTCTTAAACCTGAAGCGTGTGTCAACCTGGTCTTGCAATCTGCAACATTTAAAGAAAAAATAATCCTTGTATCTATTTATTAGAACTTGCATGGGGACCAGCTAAAACTCAGATAATTTGATGGGATCCTTGCATGCAATCCAAGCAGGCCATCTGCTTCTAAAAAAAGTGAAGGTTTCCTCACTAAACTTTGGTGCCTGTTGCATGTGTTTCGTTAGGTTAAGTGAAACGATGGAAAAGAAACAAAAAGGAAAGCTGGTGCATTTGCAGTGCTGTGGAGACTGAGCACCCTTGTCCCTCCGTCCACGGCAGGAGCGCGAGCTCAGCCCGCTTTGGCATCACAAGTAGACGAGGATGAGCCACCTCCTGGAGAAAAGGCAGCCGATCTGCCCCGGTGACACCCCTCGTGTGCAGCACACCCTGCACGAGCACAGTTCGGTCACGCTGAGCACTGCGGTGCCATTAAATTAAATCGTTAACATGAACCAAGCGATGGTCGAAGGGTCACTGCAGCTGCGTGCAGCGTGTGAGCCGCCCCTCACCGCAGCCTCCGGGCAGCAGCGCCCGGGAACACGGCCCCCAGGACAGGCAAAGACAGGGCCCACGCTGGCACCACGGCTAAAAGCGCTGAAAAAAAAAAAAAAAAAAAAAAAACCCCAGGAAAAACCAAAAAAAAAAACAAAAAACAAAAAACAAAAAAAAAAACACAAAAAAAGTCTGGAAAACTGTAAGAATTTGAAAAAACAGCAGTACAGATTTTCCTTAAATAATTTCAGATTCCCTGCAAAGGACTGAAGTCTCAGTATTAAAATCCACAAAGATGACCTAGACTATGTACAATTTTGACTAATGTTTTCAACAACAACAACAAACAAAGCAGCACCATAAACTCCCAAACATTGTAAAATCCTCTGTAGTTTTGCAGGGCAAGGGAGATGGTGTTGAGACTTATTTTTTTTCCTATACTATTATCTCAATCTTGTTCCTTTTCTTAGTGCACACAGAAGCCTTTGCAAGGCCCAGGAACACCACTCCTTTGCAGGAGCCTCTTTCAGAAATAATTCGGAGGAAGTTGCCTGTTTGATAGCATTTTGTGTCACACGTTCTTATTTCAAAGAAGTCAGAAGCCGGGGGCCTGCCACCAGGTGGAAAAGAAATTAAGCAAACAGACAACTGCTTTAGTCACCTATCCCGATTAAGTGATGGGAAAACATGACTATATACAGCAGCTAGCACAGGAATATAAAATATGGTCATAAAATCAACTAGTCTTCATGACAAGCTATATTTTCGTTTTGTTCTTACTAAGCAGAAATTTACATTAGCATAAGTTTTGAACTAGCAAATTAACTGATGAGCTTGGACATAACATGAACTACATCAGTGGGCCTACAAAAAGAGAGAACTACCAAACATAAAAGGAAAAGCAACACAAAAAGGTATAAACAACACTGCATATTAGCAGTTGACAAGTGTCCAATTCACAAGCCATCCAGCAAAAAAAAAAATCCCAATGCAGTTAAAAACACAATGTAACAAAGAGCACAGAAATTCCATTACGCCACATCCAGAAAAGCACAACAGCTGATCACTCACAAGTATTCCAAAACATAATAGAGAAGCCAGCTAAGTATCACAAGAAATTAAGTTACAGATTAATATACAAATATTGAACAATGTTAAGAAATGAAAATGCTTCTTTCTTTTAGCAGTGTGTTTTTACAGGTGTGAATAAATAGTCCTAGACGTTCGGATTCCCTCTACAAGGCTCCACATTATCCGGTTCTCAGGCTACTTCTCCATGACTCAAACACCACCGACCTACCTTGCACCCAGGCTTCCTAACGTCACTAGTACAGCCAGAACAAGGTAGCAGGTTAGTGCTCAGGAGCAGCCTCCGCAGAAGCTCGCGAGGTACCGCTAAGCATTATTTTGAGAGAGACAGTAAGGGAACCTACACTACAGCTGTCTAAACCAAGAGGCATCAAGAACTTGTGAAACGTCAAGAATGCACCAACGTGAAGCAGAAAGAAGCTGGAGCAAGAGCTGGGTGGTGGTTGCCGATTTCGATATTTAAAAGTCTGCTCCCATGAAATTTATGTCTTTCAAAGGAAATTAAAAAAAAGATTAGTGTATCCTCCCAGTAAGAGCTATAGACTTTTGACCAGTTTTAACTGACATTTACAAGAATTTTACAAAAAATTTCAAGTATCATTTTTTTTTTGTTAATCACAGTGAAAATGTAAGACCAAGATGTAAATGTTAAAGTGAACGATTGAAAGTTTCTTAGATGAAAAAGGCAAAGGTACTAAATCAAAACATACAAAAATGCTTAAACGCATTTCCTTCATGTGATATGAATAGAAAGGTTATTCGTAAAAAGTTAGAAAAATTAAAATAAATTACATATTTAAGTACACTTTCCCTTCCACATTTCTACAAAAGTTCAGCATAGTGTACTTGGAATATACACGGTGGGTGCTCAGTACACCCAGCTGATGGGCACCCACTGGGGCTCGAGGCGCAGCCGCTCGATGGCCGCCTGCAGCTGCTCGAAGGCCTTGTCCAGGTTGTCGTTGGTGATGGTCAGGTCGAAGTAGTGGTTGTAGGCGCGCTGGATCCGCGCGCTCTCGTCCACCGTCTTTTTCAGGTCAGTGTCCTGTTGGGAAGGTTTTTTTAAAAAACAATTAAGCAGAGCAGACTCAGCAGACAAGTATCAGTCCAAAAGAAGTATTAGCTCATCACATACTGCAAGGGACTACTTGCACCTGCATAGATTATACACCTAAAATACAACAATGAAATGTTTTCATTATAACTCCTTATGAAACTTAGGTTAAAATACTTTGACAGGTCTGAAAAATGTTGTGATAGCAATGCTATCTATCACAACCAAGTGATTACAAATTTTGCTGCCTTAATAAAGCAAATAAAAGCACCTGAACTGGAGCCTGTCTAAACAACAGGCAGTTAATCATTTTGCATGTACATCTGATCATTCAATCAGAAAAAAAGTTAATATCTTTAGGAATAATTGAGTCTTTCAGTTACATAAATGTCTCATGGCCTCTTATTTATTTACAAAAAAGCACCAGAAGTCCAAGAATGAAAGAATCCAAGAATGCAGGTATGTTTGACAATGACGGTTTCTAGAAGAAAGCTCTAGAATATCCTGTTCTTTTAGATGTTACATTCTGTCCTTTCTGTTCATTTGCACGTATTTTCTTGTTCAAAAAGCATCAGTGCTTTATCTTACTTCTGACACGAGCAGCCAAATAGGAATATAAATTTCTTGCCTACATTTTTAAGGCTTCATGAGGAGCTGCCACTATCTTCTACATGTTTGTAAAAGCTGGGGAAAGAGCAAAGTACCCAAAGATATACTAAACCCAGTGACAACTGGAATCTACAAACAGGTTTGGATATTTGCTCATGTGATTAAGAAAATGGAATCTCACAGGTTTAAAAGAAAAATATATACATATATATATTCATTTACTGCAAATTAACCCATCTCTCATTTTATGCCTTGAATGCCCTTCGTGCATTAGGCAAGACATTGCTACCATCTAAGCCACAGCAGGTAAGAGCAGCCCGGAAGACCTGGCTTTTCCCAGGTGGAGGGAGAGCCCTGTGGAACACAGGGGCTTCCTTAGCTCCTCAGTCTGGTATTTGGCTTCAGTCCTGCAGCTGAGAAGGTCCCTGCCACAGAAACGCCTGTGTTCACTAGGCTGGAGGAGGCCGGGGCTCTGCCCTCTGCGGCACCTTCTGCCAGACCTACGCAAGGCTGCGCTGGGGCGGAGATGCTGAATGGGAAGTAAAGACACGTCTGCAACAGAAGAATTCCCACCAAACATCTGTATTTTTTGCAAATAATCAACTATGGCACTTCTCAAAGAATACAAGTAATTCTTGTAATCAGTACTTCTCCATAAGAGCTCTATCTTTAAAAAAGTAGCAATCTGCCTGATACATAGTATTTGATTAAGAAAGGTTAGACAAGATCTTTGATTACTTGGTACGACAAGTTAGAGATTTTAACTTCAGAAAAAAAAATAAAATGAGGGTTAAACAAACAAACAAACAAAAATTAGGACATCCTCTTCAAGGCAAACCAAATGTGGAAGACTGCTTACAGTGAGAAGTTTGGTTGTAATTCCAGCATCTACCACAGCCTTGTGCATAGCCCGCAGCGTCTCCAGTTCTGGCGCAGCAATGAACACGACGTAGGGCATGAACTCCGACGTCCTCAGCACTTTCAAGGCCTGGAATCAAAGAGAAGAAAATGCACCCAAATTAACTATGTACGAGAACAATTCATCACACGTCCTCATTACCTAGGTAAATTAGCACTGCAGAACTACTCTGTTACAATTAGCAACACTGCATGCTAGGCTAGTATTTTTATTTCAGGACCTCCTAGGCTGCCTGAAATTACAAGGTTTCTTTTCAAAACGCTCAGCATTGTTCTTGGCCAAACAGATTGCTTACTGTCGGGCAAGGCTCCCCGTCCATGCAGAGCCTGAGCGGATTTTTCCAGTCGCTCTAACTCACTCCAACAAGGTGCCACAGTCACAGAAATCCAGGCTGCACTGCAGTCCTTCACCACACGGGCAGCTAAGAAACCTCCTCCACACTGTGTTCCTGCTTTTCCAATATAGCATGATACAACACACACCTGTGGGTTCACATCCAAAATGCAGGTTCTTCCAGTCTGAACAACCTCAAGGATGGAATCAATTTTGGTGCCATAAAGATTTCCTTCATACTCTCCATGCTCCAAATATCTGCCAGCTTTAATATCTGTCTCCATTTCAGCTCGTGACACAAATCTGTATGCCTGCCCATCCTTCTCATCATCTCTTGGCTTTCGTGAAGTAACTAAACAAAAAACATAAAATATAAATTGAATTTACCTCTTTATCTCTAGAATGAGACTGTTCTCTGCACTATGGCTTCATACCACAGACAACACTCATTTGTACCGTCCTTCCTCATTATTCACCAAATAAAATTATTGTTTAAGGAAAATGATATAACTTCTACTCTCATGTTAGTTTTACTTCTGAAAATGCAATTAAACTCTCCTCATCTGCTTCCCCCTGCCCCTCACATTCACTCACATATTTAGGGTGGAGATACCAGAACTGCCTATAGAGTGAGCTTGCTCAAACACCAAAATCAGCCCAGCCACAGCAGCAAGAAGCTTAGTAGGCAGATTCATCTGGCCTCCACTACATAAAACACAATAAATTCAGTGGAGAGAGTTCAGTGACAACAGTTAACTCAAACTAACAGCTGGCTTAGTGGTTGGCCTCAAGTGTGCAGCACAGCTGTTAACGTAAGCAAGAAAGTGAAAATATGTAATTATTATCTACTTTGCTGTGTTGCCATCATTTTACTTGCCCACTGCTTGAGTTCCAAAATACAGTAGACTTAAGAGCAAACGAATCCCTTTGCTAACACTCTGATGCAAGTGGAAAACACTTCCTTCAACCAATAATTCCCATTAACCTCATGATTACAGAAAACTCCCGACCAGGATAAACAATCTTCTGAAGCTGTTAGTAATATCAGTATTCCTGGAACATCTGGTCATAGACAACAGTGTACAGAAGGGTTAAAGCTCCAATGATTAATACAGTATCAAAACAACTCAGATCATCTTGAAATAAACTTTGGGAAATGAGCTATGACAGTTCACAGCCAGAAGATGACTTAACAATTCAGGTATGCACACTGAAGGCAAAACGGAGCACCATTTGCTGTGGGATTTGAACTCAGCACCATGGATATGTTTTTCCTCACAGCAATACTGAAAAAACATATACAATGCTTATTCGGAGATACAGCATTTAGAGAAAATTGCACTTGTGAGAGTTTTATTTAAAAATGGAAATAGATCAGTAAATTTCTCAGTATTTCTAGCTGCATTCATATGTTAGCCCAGTTATCCGGGAAGAGGAAAAATTCCCCCCACCCAACAATTTTTGTACTCTGCCAAAATTACTGATACACTGACTCACTGGAATTCACTTCAGGTTGTTTCCTAGCTAACCAGAGACTCCAAGCAGGATGTTTCAGGAGTCCTGAGAACTTACATGGCACTGTAGTTCCAAACCTAGTGGGATTCAGTACAATAAACCTGTTCTTCAAGCTTCTTCGCCCCACTCCTTGCGCCCCAATCAGGACCAGCGTTTTCCTCTGAAAAGGAGGCATTTTGGCTACTTCCTCATATATCTGGATTTCATGACGATCAAATTCTACATTGAAAAGTGTACGAAAAAATAGTTAATGTTCAGTCATCACTGGAAGAATAATTAAGCAGTTTCATTTAACATATTAATAGAACATGTGTGAAGTAATACTCCAAAGGCTTTAAGTCTGATATAAGCTTGCTGGTTAATTTGAACACATTAGCTATCCCTTTGGGGACAGCATAAAGTGAGATTATTACCTTTACTTCCAAGGACAACTCTGCAGGGTGATCAGAACTGGAAAATAGTGATTACCCATTTATGTTTATTTTCTTCCTCTTTCCTTAAAAAGATAAAATAAAAAACAAAAACACCCTCCACACCACTCTGCCTCAGCACCCTATCTCCATTGGTCACTATTTCTTTAAAAAACCTCAAAAACTACCTAACTATTGAATTTATAATCAGATATTTGACTTTGGATACACATTCCGCTTCAGATACATTAGATTATCTGCAAACTTAGAAGCCTACAGAACTTCTGTTCTTAAATATTATTAATACCTGCATTTCTGGTGGTGAGATACATCATCTTTTTCTTTTTTTTACTGCTTATTGTTCCGCAGAAAGGCCCTGGAAAAAGAAAATTGAAAGAAGTTCATCATTTTTCTTAAATGTGTTTTCTTAAACACATTAAAATTACAGGGACTGTTTTGAAGAAATGATTATTTTCCTTTCTAAAATTTAATATACCCTAGGGATAAGTATGTCTATCTTCACACATTAAATGGTATAGTAAGGACAAAATACAGAGAATAAATTTAGTTTACAAAGAGAGCTTTCTAAAAAAATCCAGAAAAAACCTTGAAATGTATGTTTACTATATTAACTTTCAGTCCATATTAAAAAATAGAAGAAATCTAACTCTATGGCTTTCCCATCTCATTCAGTTTTTCATCAGCAGATGGCAAAAGTGATTCATTCATAGATATATGATAACCAAGTGTATAGTTTTACTTTTGTCCTTAAGCAAAAGCCAAAGTCATTCAAATATGATAATTAACATTTACCAATATTGAATATTCTCATATAGCAAATTCCAGTATCTACAATGTCAGGAAGAGGGAAAAAAATATATAAGCCAGGGCAAAATACGGTGCTAAAATTCATTAAATCTCACCTGAGTTGTCCCAGTCCCTCCTAACAAATGCCTTTCTTTTCTCTTCCAGGAACTGGCTAGGAATAAGTCCTGCACTTCCTCCTTCTTTGACATGACTAGCCTATAAAAAAATAAATAAAAATGTAGATAACTGTGAGAAACACCTTTTTTTAATCAACATTTCGATGACTGACTTTCATACTGCCAGGATGGTGCCAGTACTGTGCCAGTTTTCTAATGGCGACTGCTGATACTTTTATTATCAAGACTTAAATTCAGATTCAGCTGTGAATTTTAAAATTTTGCCTTACCGTAGCAATAGTTTGCCATGGAGTTATTAAAATTCAAAAGAGGTTGGAAAAAACAGACACAAGTTCACTCCTGATTCCTATTCAGTGAGTAACCTACATGGACTTCCCTAGCACCAAATGTTGAACCCTCTGAAATCAGGGATGTTTAGTTCACAAGCTTATTTTGTATTCTTGTGCTGCTGCAAACAGGTTCCAGTGCAGCTTTTTAACTGTCATTTTACAAACATGGAATTCCATGAACCCATCTAATCATCCCCTCCAGCTTCTGCACTGCACAGCTACAGTTTTCTATCTTAGTAATGAAGTACTCCTGTAATCACAGTTGGGCTAACATTCTCCATCAACATCATTTATAAACATAATAGTCCATGGCAGGACTAGGCTTGACAAGCTTAACGCACGCAAACACACAGTTATGAAATGCTGTATTTTTTTCTTCTCTGTGATGGGCAGACCATGTCTCCTGCTAACAGGAACTTTGGATTCTTTTATCTATTAATGACTACCTGAATTTTATAGTCAGAAAATTCTCAGCAACAGTCCAGTATTTCTTGACTTTCCACTAGCTTTTTCCCTGGGTATAATCTGCATAGAATTACTGGCAATACACTGTACTGCCTTAATCCAATTCATTTTTCCACCAATCACAGATGCTCTTTAAGAGATCCTTTGATTTACCTTGCCTGGGTTCGATCAAGTTAAAAGCTGGACAAATTGGAAAAATAACACAGAAGAGGGCACACAAGCTCCTTCAGACTACTCGGGAGTTTCACAGCACCCAGCTCCTAAAACTAACTTAGCAGTAACAAATTTCCTGCATCTTTCCCCACCCGCCTTTATTCTTTTTTGCTTAGTCACTTATAAGTAACAATTCAACAGCGCTGAAGTGTTTTCAAATATGTTTGTTGATCTTCAAAGCAATATATACAATTAAATAATGTTTGGCCCATTACTCCTTGTTACCCAGCATGGGGCTAGCAATTTAGGGATGCAAAGGGAAATTAATAATGCTGAATTCCTAGCTTGGACTGCCACTGCCGCTCCCAATGTTGAGCATCTCAGTTGGGAAAAGTGCTCTGAAAGTCCACCCATCTGTATTCAAACCCACTGATGATCTCTAACCGTGCACCTTGTGTTTTTTGAAAAAATATGTATATATACATATATATATAGTATATAGCATTGGATTACATTTCTACTGAAGGACCGAATGCAGAAATACAATCTTTAAGCAGGATGAACTGTTACTATTTTCAAGTGCCAAACACTTTGATTATGTTACAGCTCACAGCCACTGGCCACCGCTCTGGAAACAAAAGACGGATCTTCTCCAAAAGAAGCGTTCCCACCCCTCTCCAAATCCACAGCGCTGATTTCCCGCTCCTCCTCCTCCACTCTGAGCACTCAGGAAAGGATCCACCTCTCCCACAGTCACTGTCAGGGAAGGGTCACTGCCATTATTAGAGGCATCCTAAGGATTTTGGCTAGAAATTGTCCATTTAAAACCGATTTTGGAAGGTCTAGGTTTATGATACAGAGTAAAGACAAACAGCAGCAATAGCAAAAGGCCAGTGCTACACAGACTGCTGATAATTTACTAGTATAAATTATATTTAAATTTTGACATCTTACTAGACTGAAAATGCATTACAATCCAAGTATTCTTATCACATATCCATACTATTTTAAACTAGTTCATTACTGCAAAGTTCCTTATTAATTGCAACCAGTGAAGCTCTCACGCTTTTTTACTACCTACAGAAAAAAAAGTTTTTATTGTTTTACCAACCTGCCACCAATTTGGATCTTCCCGGTTTACAATCTGAAGAATTTCTCCTTTAGAAAACTTCAAACCAGCTTCTTTGCACGGGATGAGATTGTCATTATATGGATTATAATCAAAATGACACTTCACAAAAACCTGAAATGTGTAAAAAAATCACAAAGTTTTATCTGTCAAGCTGAAGAAACGCCTTAGAGCCTAAAAAGTTTGACATGATGAAATTTGCATTTGGCACGTAAAATACAATTTATGGGAGGAAAAATTCACAAATAGCATACCAGCTGAGAGAGTGAAATTAATCTGCAGTGCAAGCCTTGGCTGAAGGAACTTTATGACAAAAATAAAAAGCCAACTGTTCGGTTTGGACACTGTATTACACAACATTTGTTTTTGCATTTCAATACACAATGCATCTCAATTAGTATTCTGACATTAAGTTACTCAAAACTTCTATATTCCTCAGAATGTGAGATTTCCCTTCAAGGTTTGTGGAGTCTTAAGTATTAATTGTGCCATGACCACAAGGTTTAAGCGATCACATCTCATTTGCTTTAAGCCTCAAATTTGATGCAGGGGCAGAAGCAGTGAATTGTTTCAGGAGGCCAGAGACAGCTTTGTTATCCAAGCTGGCAGAAAAAAGAAAGTCCACTATTTCTGCCAAGGAGAAAGCAGCAGAATTCAGCAACAATAAAAGGATAAGGAATAGCCACCAACTCCCTACCTACAGTCAGCGATTCATACACCAAGCCACTCAGCTGTGTTTCTGGAGTCCATGAGATGGATTACTTGGATGCTCGATCATGTTAAATGCATGGGGTTTATTTCAGAGCAGTATGGCTAGGCCACGAGAGGTCACTAGGTACCAAAGAAAGAGGCTTGAAATTATGCAAATGCTTATTGGTCTTGGATTCTAATATGATTTAAAACCAATAAAAAACCCCAACAACTTCTACCAACTTCTATTAGGTGTGACCTGAATTACCAAACAATTCAGTTTCCAACATGTACTTAAGGGGAATAGAGATGCCTGCATTTAGCCTTCCTGCTAATGTTATTTGTACAACACCAAATCGCAGCTAATCCAAAGCTCTCACAGTAATTTCATGCAATGAAGAACCAAACGGAAGCTGCTTTGACAGAATGGTTAGGAGCACCCTACTAACCTGCTGAGGAATAACAGTGTCTCTGTAGCTGGGGAGGATTTTCAGCGTGACGCTCCCACTGATGTTTTTCAGCAGTTCCTGCAGCTCTTTGGGGTTGTTTCCGACCTCGTGGCCATTCACCTCCTTAATGATGTCACCTACGTGCAGGAGGCCTTGCCGATCTATCATGCCGCCGTGCAGGATTCGCGCTATTACCAAATCGTTGTTCTCAACTCGAAATGTAACACCCTGCAAGAAGCACAGCACGCCTGCTTTACACCACTGCTGGAATTCCGCTTGCATTTCACCTTTACCTCAAGCAAAAATACATTGCTACGGGAGTATAAGTACTCGCCCTGCAAGAAAACACTGCTAAAAACAGTTATTACACTGTAAGAGTTCCTTACATACAGGCAAGTGTCAAGCGACACAAAAGTGCTTTCACACAAGGTTTTTGTATGACTGAACCACAACTGGACTGCTCTTGGTTGCAAAACTGTCCTTTTGTATTATGAATGAACTGAAATGTTAGTTAGGCTAACAAATTGTACTGCCTAGTGAGAGTCTACTCGTTATGGTAAATTCCTAAAAGGAACTGCATAGAGGACAAATTGATATCTTCCTATTTCAACCTCTCATCCCTTAAATTACACAACATGATGTAAGAAAGAATCAAAAACTTACTGTAATGCACTAAGCAGATACAAATACTTTCCATTACACTCTTAATTTAAAGCCACACGTGTGCAATTACTTACCAGTGGCTCTCCCGCTCTTTTGTGAATACCAAGGATACGAATAGCATCTACTGGAACGATCTGGTTGTTCACCGAAGAATTATTGATTTCCGGACTAGAAGGGGGGGAATCATAACATTTTGAAGCCACAATATCGTGCGCTTCCAAGAGTGACTGGAAGGGAACAGAAAAAGCCTTTTTTATATTACGAAATAACCAAAATGATTTAGTGCTTAGTAACTGCTGAAACTGCCTCTCTAGGGCTTACAACTCTTACTTCGCATGGAACACAGCAAAATTAACTTTCATGTTCACATGAAATGTAAGCACTGAGGTGGCCTGATCACACTAGCGTCTTGGCAAACATCCCTTCACAGGCACAAGCAGAGGATGGAGAAGGTGCCCTAGGACGGTCCTTCACCTGGCGAGACCGTATCCAAGCAAAGGGAGCAGCAGAGTAAAACAACTTTCAAAAAACAGAAAACAAAAACAAACAATATAACCAAAAAACCCACAAAATACACACACAGAAAAACCCCAAAAAAGCTCCAAAACCAACTCTATCCCAAACCCCAACCTCATCATGAGCTGATGAGGATAACTCATCATTAGATACTCATGTTTAATGTAATAAAATTTCCTTTGGAGTAACTGTAAATTAAATCTAATTCTAGGTTTGCAAAGGTTTTTGGCAATCTGCAGAACAAGTACTTTCATCTCGTGTAAAACCAAGGCACAACTCTAGCCCCAGATAAGCTATAATGAATCCAAGCTGACACACTTCCCTTTTTGGAAGGCCTCAGACATTATAGCTAACCATGTTTTCTCTAGTTCACATACCTAAGTTTAAGATTAAAGAAAAAAAAATCTAAGATAATACAGGCAGGTTTACTAGATCATTGACTGGCTTCAAACAGGCAGCTAGGGAGAGCAGCAGAGAGGGGGCACCGCAGGAAGCGGCGGTGGTAGCGACGCGACGCGGAGCAAGCAGGCCCAGCGGGGCGCTCACCAGGCCTGCCCGGGGCAGCTCAGCCCCTCTGCCAGCCGGCCGGCCGCCCTCCTGGCGGCTCCGCTCCGCGCTGGCTCAGTGACAAGCTCAGGGCACAAGCCCAGGGCACCGGCCTGGCCAGGCAGCGCAAACCCCACCGGTACTTCCCGCTCTCCCTCTAAACGAAGCCACACAGTGACCCAGCTGACACCCCAATCTGAAATCAGAGGAGTTCCTGACTCACTGACTCTGCCCTTTCCATTAAAGCTGTATTGTGCCTGCTCAGATACTAGGGACACAAACCAAGTCAAATGAACAGGAAAAGCAATCATTTATTTAAATCAAGCAGCTGTCAGATGGTAGCAATTTCTAGCTCTTTATTATCCAAGATGCATCCAATCCAGAAAACGGGATAACAGATCTCTGGCTTGCCAATGTTTGCAAGCAACATTTTGGACCTTTCTACATTTTCAAAATGAAATCAGCTGGCACCTACCACACATTTTGACACCTTAGCACAGACAGTGCCAGGCCGATGCAGCAATGAGATATTGACCGTTTTCTTTCTGGTCACATACAGAACAAGTTGGTCCCAGGCGTTTTTGCCATAAACCATTCCGCATTTTCTCACGCAGCCTCACACATAACCGGGCTTCTGCATCCCCCTCCCTCCCCTAAGGGCAGGGTGCTTTAGGGAATGTGAGCTGATCCACTGCCACAAATGACTCTGAACTCCTGTGCTGTCCTTTCCAAAGAGACACATCTCACGGGATTCTGCCCTTTGCTCTGTTTCATGGATAAGCAGGAAATCTCTGAACTCCTCAGCTCATTAGGTATCTCCCAATCACAAAATCTTTCTCATGCTATTTACACGACGGCTGACTCACAGAAGGACCGTCGCGGACAGCAAACTGCTGCCCACAAATATAAAATGGTTTCTTTGAGAAAAGAAGTCTCAGTTTCTTCAAAACTAACCACTGTCCACTTACTATCTTTCCAAACTGACTCTCTCTTCTGAGACTCAAGGATCTACATCAGTTTTAGCAGGTTATTTCCAATCCAGCCAGGACATGGGACACAGTCCTGAAGAATATTTACGAAAACTAAGTCACCTGGTAACAGACTTCCATGGAAGAGCCACCCAACACGGCATAGAGATGGACACAGTTGAGAGTTCGCTTCAAATTGACAGTATGCTTCAAAATGGCATGGGACAGCCTCCCTACCAAGCTGCTATATGATATGAAGGTGAGCTCTCAAGTAGATGAAAATATTGGTTAAAAAAAAAAAAAAAAGGAGGTCAGGAATACAGGATTAGTGACACCTGTGGATTCCCACAGGCATCCAGGCTCGCTTCTACACCTGGCAATGTCCTGGCAGGTCACAAAAGTCATGCGGAAAACAGGTCTGAAGTGAGAGCATTTGTTGATGCCGCTAAGCTCCTCAGGGAGCACAAGAGCTGACCAAGCCTGCAGGAAGATTTCTTGAGCAACAGAGGGAAAAAAAAGCAAACACAATTCCCCGGAGATTGCACAGAGAAACACAAACCTAATTTAAGATTCCTGAGTCTGTTGGTTAATATTATCTCAGGGGTGCAACAGTCCTGAAAAATAAATAGCCTCTATGTTCAGCCTCCAGGAACACTGAACAAGAACCCATGCTGGGTTTGCCTTAGTATTTGCTGTTCATGCCAGAGAAAGTTCTCATTTGGTCTCTGTCTTTCCTAGTCACTTCCAGTCTCTCCCACTTAGGCTACTTGTCCAGCTGGCCTCTGGTCTTTCCCACCTCTCTAGAGACCACTGCAGGGCCTGTCAGCATCAGGCTAGCGCAGCAAGTTCTTCACTTACCAAGTCTTTCTCCTCTTCTGGTTCTGCCTCTGCCACTTGTCAGATTTAGCTTCTCTACCTCACACGAAGTATCTTTGCCAGATCTATCACCAAATCAGCTGTCCCATAGTTCTCATCTTTTTGTATTTCAGCTGCCAATTCCTCCAAATTTATCCTTTCCATTTTCAGTCCCAGTTTCTGCTAAAGTTGATCAAAGCCCGAAAGGTTGATTGACCAGTGAGTTTCTGACTCAGTCTCTGACCCCTTCCATAGGCTGCCCTTCTAGACGAGCAAGGCAGAGCCCTGGAGAGCTCCACACCTGGCTCCTCAGAACAGGCCAAGGAAGGGCCAGAGCCCAGCGAGCTGCTGAAGCATTCCCTACTCCCAGTGGGCCATAACGTGGCTTCACAGCACTACTGCCTTTTACAGACTTTCAACTGCAACGCAACTCTCTGCTGTGGGTGTATAATGTAGAACTGAAATCCAGAAAAGCATACGTTTAAACTCACATACCTAAAGACGTCACAGTTTTTCTATGCCCATCTGCTGAAAGAGGCACATTCATCAGTGGGAAAAAAAGGATCCTAAAGTTCTTCTACAAGACACCTGCAAGCTGAGTACTAAACTCAGGTGAAGTGTGGCAATAAAGTGCAGAATACACAAGAATTTAGAGAGCTTATTACCCCTAAGCATCAAGGGCCAGTATGGAAGCTGGTAACTGTATGTGAGTTCTGGAAAAACGTTTGCTTTTGACAGCTGTATGTCAACATTTCATTTGCACAAAGTAGAGCAGCAGAAAGAGGGGTACACAACTTACAACTTAAGCTGCAGTGCTGACCTCTTGTCATAACACAGTTCACAGGGTGACTGAATCCAATTCTATGTCTTGCATACAAGTAAGAATGTAAATAGCTTCAGAGAAGTGAAGAACAGCCAAAATCAGGAACCGAGACCACTTGGAAATGCTTAAAGAGATGGGGCCTCCAGTGGATTTTTAATAGCATCTTAAGAAGTCCTCAGCGAGCATGCAGACACTACATTATCTTTCAGTACGAGTAAAATTCCAGGTAAGAATATGTTGCAACTATTTTTGCTTGTTAGGCTGCAGCTGTTTTGGCATTATTATCACACCTAGATTTGTGTGTCTACACTAATCTAATAAATGGGCAATATACAGGAACAACTGGTACCTGAAAATGAGGTTCCTTCAGTATTCCAACTAACTCTGCAATATTTTCATCTTTATTTACTAAGGGACTGATGTCTTCAAGAATTTCATTCACCAGCTCCAAGTTATTATCACTGACAGCCTCAAGTTTAGAATCTTCCAATCGCTCATGAGCCTGTAAATAAAACAAACATATTACACCATAAGTTTCAAGTAAATAGTAAATATCAATTCAGATAACTTTCATTAATTCTGGGGTCCATCCTTCATCAGGAAAGGCTTAACTAGAACATTTAATCTAGTTCTATATTTTATCTTCAGAACTCTTTAAGGGGTTGGCATGCTTAACTGCAGGACCACAGATAAATTGTGTTTCCTAAAACCTCTGTGTGAGAGGCAAATACACTGAACAGCCCTCGAAGAAGAGCAGAGCACTTCACACCTTCCCTGCTTCAGAACCCACTGAAGTTAATGTTCCAGAAGAGCAAAAGAGCTGCTCAGGGATCTGCTCAGGAAAAAAAAAAAAGAGTAAGGTCTTAATGAGAGGCATTTACCTAAGGCTCCCCTGACTCATATTCCTTCATAATTTGCATTTTGGAAGGAATATTGCATACTTCTTTCTAGAGACATTGCTGCAGACATAAGCCTTCTCTAAACATAGCAGACACTTGAACTCACTGAAGGTAGGAGCTTTGGGAGGCAAGAAGAACACCTCACAAACCCAAATGCTTTGCTTATGTACTGCAGGCAGGGCTATAGCATGAGATGAGAGAATCACACACTGAATTAGGAGTTATTTACAATACTTTAGCAACAAGGAGTTCAAAGAACAATTACTGTGGTAGGTAAAGAAAAAAAAAATCAGAGAAGAACACTTTTCTTGTCCCTGAAGTATTAAATACTATCTGATATCTATAAAATGGTATTTCTTCAGGACTGATGATCAATATTTAGATCAGTTTACAGAGAAAGACACTTAAAGCATTTCCCGCTACCAACACCCATGGAGAGCTTGGCACCTACTCACATTCTCCAGCTCCGCTGTATATAATACAATACAAATAGTAAACAATATCTATCTCGTAAGGTTTACTTTTATAGAAAATAATATATATGTAAAATAAATCTTTTGGCTTTAAGACATACTCCATCTGCAAAAACACTACAAGATGAAAGAATCCAAGTTATACATTTTGCCTTTCTCACTCCTCTTTAAAATACTACCACTAGCACAGAGTTTAATCTAAATATAAACATCCCCATCCCAAGCCCCACATCCAAGCTATGTAGGTACAGCGGAACAGAAAGTTCATCAGCTAACGAACTCGCATCCAGCAACAGACTAGAGATTAACAGGATATGGAGCAGTCCTATTTTTTTTAATTAACTTAGAACTTGTGTTTTTTTCATATATCAGATATGGTGAACAGATTGAATCCATTTTTTAATTAATTCAACTTGCCAAATGCTCCAATAATATGATTCGATTCCAACAGTCTGACATCCTAAACACTGGATTCCATGTTTATAGTCCATTCAAAGATTAAGCCTCCTTGATCTGGGTTAGCCACACTAAAAGCACTGAATTTAGTCTCATTACAAAACAGAGATGGAAGTTTTGAAGCTCAAAAGTACAGTTGACAATCTAGGTAAAAGCAAATGTTAATAAGGTAGGTAGGTGGCAAAGTGAAGTAAAGTTACTGCACGTGCCAAAGTTAGCAGGAGCTTCAACAAAACAAGCAAAGAAAAAGCCCCACGCAATTCTGTGGGTTAGTTAGGGTTGAACACAAACCTCACTAACTAACAGGAAAATGCTTTTACAGTAATTTTAGTTACTTTCCTTTCCTGTTAAATATCCCCACCTGGAAACACACAAGAATTGGAAAACAAGTTCACAGATAAAGGGAAAGACGAAGAGAGAGAAATGCGCACAAAGTTTCTCCCTCAAAAAGACCTGAAATTTCTACCTTGATGGCTTCATTCTAGAATAGAAAGAAAAAAAAAAGCACCTTAAATGTTTCTTGAAAAGATAAGTTAAACTGCATTGCAAAATATTATTTTAAACTAAAAACCATGAAAAACTATGCTTATTGTTTGCCTTTTTAAGGTCTGAAAGAAAAGCGAGCTTATATTACTCATGGCACATTTCCATAAGTTTCTTTTTTTGCCCTTATTGCAATACTTTACATAATGAATAGCATTAATAGCTGACTAATAAAAGAAAGTGAAAAGGCTTTTAGAGTTCTGGCTTGGTCTGAAATGAATCTTCACAAATAATCCAGGCATCTCAGTGAATTGCCTATTCTGTTAAAGCTAGCTCTGCTAACGGAAGAATGTTTATACGCCTTTAGAGATAAATTGATATTGACAAACTTCACAAAATGTGTGGCCTTTTTGATGCTATCCTTACTTAGTTCTGCTGGCTGGATTGTTCATGGGTTTAATTCTGAAATAATTACAAAAGAAAGTATTGACATGGTCATGTCATGTGAACACAGTTAAAATCACTCAGCATCTCAGATCAAGCAAGTTTATAGCTGAGAGTCTGTGTTGCCATTACCAAGGCTTGGTTGGTTGGTTTTTGTTTTTGTTGTTTTCTTTTGATATCTGCTAGTCATTAAATTTCCCATCATTGTAAAAATAAAAACATCAAGAAATAAGAAAGAAAATATGCTTTGCAATGGACATTTTGCTTGTGGTAACTATTAAAGGATGAAGTATGCAGCAGATACTGAAGCTGGAAAAAAACTTTAAGCAAGAAAGTGGTAAGAAAGTACTTAATCCTGTATATCCAGTACAAATCTTACTCTTAACAGTCATCTAACAGTTGAAACACTTCAATTATTTTTATCACTATGCATTTTTTCCACTTCTATCCAATGTTTTCTTAATAGCTGTATAGAAGTACATAAATTCTTATGAAAAGTTTTCCTTTTCAGACTTTTACACTCAGCAAAATCCCTGTTCGTCCATCTTTTAGCTTTCACACGTCTGCAGGTTGTGGCTACAGAATATTTCATGGCCACCCAGAGGATCCGCTAGCCTTATTTTCAGATGTCTGTTCATATTAAAGAGATTGCTATATTTAAATGAACAGTTTTCCTCATGTAAGGAGCTGTTTGCTATAGCTATGAATTAAGAGTAAGAAAGAACTGTTGTATGATATGATAAGCTTAGCTAGGTTTAATTACAGGAAGAATTTTCGCATCCATAAACTTTACATATTTATAAATGCATGAATAAAAGATTTAGATAATGAAAAATCACAACTAAGGATAGCCCACGTCTAATTAAAGGTCAAGATGCAGAAAAAGGCATGCACTTAGTGCCGAGAATATTTTATTGGGTTGATCAAAAAGTCATTCTGAGTCAAAGACCAAAAAAAAGACAAAAAGATTGTTTGTCATGAGGGAAGAGTATGTTATTGCTCTTACTTTCCAGCTTTGGCACAAATGCTAAAAGTTGGAAGGCATATGGATCTTGCACACAACAGTAGTCACAAAGCTATATTATTAACAACTGCTTCAGATTTTAAATATTTTGACTTTTTCTTAATAAATAATATTATAACAATATTCCTAGAATCTCTGAATTTTTAATTTTTCTTCTAGAATCTTCCATACAACAATAAAACAAAGTGCACAGAAATTACATTATACCAGATTTGTCATATCTGTGCTTAGGAATTCTTTCAGGTCTGCTAACAAGACATACCTAATACAAAAGCCCATTTTTATACCTCAATCCATATTCCTTACTCGCTCAGTAGTTAAGGAGTTATAACTGTCCCAAAGTCTAATCACAGCAGTAAGCCAAAATACCTTAGCAAGGGATCTTACAATAGGGTTTTCCATAATTCCTTTGAGGAAGATCAAGTCGATTTCTTCGGCTCCTGTTGATGTTGGTAGATCAGTGAGGTTATCCAGGACTTGCTGCATGGCTGCTGGCAAACAAACAAAACCAAAAAACAATAAGGTAAGTACTGACCAAAACAGCCTTGCATAAACAGCAAAAGACTCTGCAACGCATCACAGTATTAGAGAGGCAAAGCAGCCAACTGCATCGATGGAGGGCAGGTAAACAGGGTAAAATAAGGGCTTTTTTTGAAAGAAGAAAACAATGAGTCTATCCAAATCTTTATCTTCACAATCAACTAGGCCCAGCACACTCCTTTTAACATTCACAGCTACTTAAGGATTGAGAAAAACAGCAATGAGCATGGAATTGTATATATGCAGTGTATGAATACACTTATGAATACAACAAAATCTAATTCATCACCCTCTCTTTCAGGGAAAGTTTTCAGCTGCCATACATACACCAACCAACTACATATTTTACAGTGCTCGTGTAGGCAGATATCAGTCTTCTTTACAAATGAACACGTATCTGCAAGTCTTTTCAACCAAAAAGCATATTGCCAAGGCAATTCCATCCCCACCAGTTCTTTAAAGCCCCCAGGTCTGAGTCACCATCTACAAATTCACAGTGACACCTGCAGCACCCGGGAGCCTAAGAAAAGGTTGGAAGATTCTACTCTTCCATAGTCCTATTCCGTGATGTAATTTGCAAGCTTAGAATTTTGTGTAACTGTCTGCTACAACCCCCCTAATTACCACAAATTGCACAAAATGCAGATTAATGTTAGTGAACAGGCTCATTTATAGATTAATGTTAGACAGCAGCTTCAATGTGTTCACAGAGTTCTTGCAAATTTGGTTGCACGAACAGTCGCCCTAGAAGGGATTTTGCTGGTGAGCTTGGAGAGATGGGCATGGGGCAACTTAGCCTGGGCATGAAAAGCAGACACCAGGTCCCTCATGGGACACGGCCTTCCTTTCTCCTGCTTTCCAATACATAACTGATCATTCTCATCTTATTAAAATCATCTAAGCAGTAAACGCTGCTTATAAAAAAAAAAAAAGCAGGGGGGCGGGGAGAACAATATAGATTATTGTTCTTTTAAACTCCTTGTGAGCTTTATGCGCACGCACGCGGGTTCTGCATGTTGCTCAGCAGCAGATACCGTGAGAATGAGAAGGCCTATATGTCCCTTCTCCCACACAGGAATTTACCCTGAACTTTCTTTATTGCTTCATAATGAAAGCTATTATGAAAAGCAGCAAAGTAACAGAACAGAGAGCATTTCTCAACACCTACTTTCTAATTTCAAGCCTTCCCAGATAATTCTATTCCAAGAAACTATTTTGTTGACGTTCTTTTTCTCTCTCAAGTGGAGGTGCATTTTTTTTTAACAATTAAATCATCTGGTTTGCTGCATTTTACCTAGAGTATTTCATGTCAAAAGACTGCCTCTTAAAACATATGTATATATGCATATATATATGTGTGTGTATATATATATATATATATGTATATAAAATCATGTTCTCACTAAGCATACTCGCTCTTACTTTAAAAAAAGAATCCTGTGTGCAACCATGAGTAGGAGGGAAAATGACACATATCAGGCTTTTAAAGTTTGACAGTAATATTATTTTTATTCTTTGATAGACAAAGTGCTGTTAGCAACCACACAAATTCATGGGGCACAAAGCCACCAAGTCAACGCACACATAGTCCCCGTGCTCCTCAACCTAAGCGCTCACTACATCACTTCATGCTGACAAAGGTGTGCCTAAACAACACCTTCCTTATGGCTCTCCATATCAATAAGCTATTTTCTATATGACCCTTTCAGGACTTTATATAGTTGAGAATGAGCAAATTAAAAGACACAGATCCCTATATAAAAACTTTAGCATCCAAGAGAAGCTGTTGGGATAAGCATTTAAGCTTCACAGAAGTGACTTTCAGGATTTGTGCAGCTAGACAGGACATTTTCAAATGGGTGTTTCATTTAAAGGTTTCACAAGTTTTTATCGAAACTGCTGAAACGCATTTTAGCCTTCTTGGAACACAGTAAACGCCTCTATCAATACACGGAGCTCACAACATTCACAAGAAACTCACACCCTAAGTAATCAAAACCCAAAGAGATGTTTTCAGACACAAGTTCCTATGGGTGCATTGACTCTCAGGGCAAAAGCTACCAGGCTCTGACCAACGACCTTCTCGGGATAACGAGTAGCCCAGTCCTACGCATGCGGCCACATATCCTCTTCAATACCAACTGTAGTTACCAGAGGCAAAGCACAAATACTGAGCCGCAGAGAAAGTTTTTAAAAACAGCCAAAGAGCCCGTGTTTGCTTTTTATAGCATGTGCTAACTAGATAACAGAGCAGTGTTATGGGTAACTCTTCCTTGCTTCCCATCCATGGGGCTGAAGTTTAGAACACAACCAAGTGCTATTTTTTCCCCAAACATCACGAGCATCTTTCAGCAGCTCGTAACACTCGAAACATTATGATCAAGTTTTTACACCATGTAGCTTTTTAGTATATGATCAATCTCCACACACACTTACAGGACAAGAATGCATCTTTGTTCTCAGCACACTAAAAAGGTTTATGTTGAAGATTGCTGGCAACAGAAATTAAACTACTAAATCTCTATTTCAGAGATAGAGTTGGGATCAGTAAATCTGAGAAGGAAAAATAAAGAAAATAAACCCACAAACACGCACACACCTGAATAAGAAACATTTATTAAGAACTTGATATAAAACTGTAAACTTGAACAAGCCAGGATGCTGGATTTAGCGAATACGTTTGGTCTTTTCCTCTTGTCGAGCTTATATTTTATGCCTACAGGTAGTCACCTGCACAAGATCAATCATGGAAGCTCTAGATATCCTTTCAACCTCCATTTCATAGTGCTTAATTCTACACACAGCTTCAATATTGATATTTTAAGTAGCAACCTTAAAAACTGCTTTATATTTTTTTCTTCCTAGGAGAAAACAACTTGAGCTCTTTTTGAAAGTACCCTTTCTTTCAGCAGCACAAATGAAAGCTGAAGGCGAAAGTACTCATATGGGGAAGTTTTATGCTAAAATATAAGGTCCTACCAGCAAGAACCAAGGCATTCAGAGGTCAGCAAATCCAAATATCCTATCAAAAATTGCTTTTTCAAACTTCCATCTTTTCCCTATCTTTGCCCCTGTAGTACTCTGCATCTGCAAATCCAAAGTGCTTGCTAAACTGTATTTACGTAAGAGGGGAAAAAAAAAGATGAGCTGTAGAATTTGTATGCTAAACCTTGCATGCATGCAGGAATCAAGTAGTACAGGGAACACGCACATAGCCTGGTGAGCAGCAGAACCGCATAAGACAAGTTCTCAGAGATGTTCCTGCTGTTGAATCCTTTGTTTTTCCAATAAAAAGGAAGTTCATTTTATTTATACACACACACACACATGTATAAAACGCACAGAGACAGCAGCCTCCAGACCCAGCAGGAGGGAGTGAGCAGCAAGAACAGGCTCCCAGTTGAGTTGAGGTATTGAGAGAAAGGGAGCCTTAGGAGCAAGCGGGCACGGAGCCAAGTTCCAGCTGAGCCTCCAGAGCCCGAAGGGACGGGGATGGCAAACGGGAAGGCTCCGGCAGGACTCAGCCAGAGTTCAGTACATTTAACAACTTAACCCCACTACGCACATCACCCCATGTCCAGAGCAACAAGTTTCTTACTTGAACCCCGTATCAAAAAGGAGGAGACACGTGGGGGGAGCCACCTTAGCTGAGCTCTGTGCCAGTTGCTGTACACCCTGAGGCAGAAGAACATAGAAATCCCGTTTCTGAACGGATGAGTCTATTAGTCAGAACGACTAACACCTCGTAATTCTAGCAGAGCGTTTCAGACAATCAAAAAGTGCTCTTTGAAGGTTTGGTCTACATACCGTACATTTCCACAGTAAATTGAAGTCAACTAAAAGTAAAAGTTACTAGGATGGACTCCTTGTAAGAGAAAAGACAGGTTTTTACTGAGACCTCAGCTGCGATTCTTTTATCTGATTCAATTTCCTTCTTTCTCTCAATGCCTAGTTCTACTCTACATTAATTCTATGTAGGGGAAAGAGAAGACATACATCTAAACAAATTTTCCTGATTTGTAGACAGAAGACAAATATGTCACAGGGGAAAATGAAAACTTTCCAGACTGAATACCTTGCACAGAGTTTTTTCTTTTTTAGCTCAACTTCATTGTACTAGTCTCCAAGCTTACATGCTAACAGGGAATTAAACGCAAATTCTGTATATATACTTTAAATGAATGCATATTTATTTACACGTGACATATCCACCTACTCACCCAGCTGGGGGGAATACAATAAATACCTCAAAGACTGCTGGTAACGATGAAGTGCAGACAAAAAGACTAGAAAATTTGAATAAATTCTTGTTATATAAATAAAGTTTGGAGACTAGTAGAGACAAAGGAAAGATTTATAATTCACACAGCCTTAAAATAAGACAACAGTTTATTTTTCTATGCGTATTTATATTTAAAAACTGTGTGTGTGTGTGCCGTGCACACTTTATCACAATGCAGGCCACTTTTCTCCCCAGTTATATAAAACACTAACTGGAGCCTAAATCTGAAAAAAGAAGTACCTATGAATAAGTTAACATTTTGGCTAGTATCAACAAACTCTTACACTGAGAATACATGAAACACTGACAAGGCTTCTGTTAATGCTGTTAGAAGAACCTTCAGAAATCAGCATAAACACAAAATACCAGCATAACAGACACAACAAAGTAAATAAGGATTTTTGAAGTTTGCTTTTCTCTTTTCATCTTAATTTTTCAGCTCTGATACTAACCCGAGCAAATGAATCAAATTTTTTGTATCTCTATATTTCTGTCACAGTAGTCAAAGCTATTTATCTGTTGCAGGGGAGAAAAATCCTGAACACCGTGTAACCAGCAGACAAAATGCTAAACTACCTCTTTTCTTGGCGGAAAAGCTAAGCTGCAAACATACGAACCCATCCATGCAACTTTATTACCGCACAAATGTCCTAGCTTTATGCCAAAGGCAACT